TAGTAGTAGTAGTAGTAGTACTATTGGGCTCGGTTTTATTGGGGGGGTTCTAGATGACAAGTACACTATTAGGGGGGGAATTTAGCTCCAATACTACTTTCAATTTGGGTGAATTTTGGGGGCTGTGTGGGCTCGGTTTAACTAGGGGGGGGTTTATTAATCTTACCTCTACATTACAAGGTGTTCATGTGATGTGTCGTTGATTCTTGTCGCCCATCTTGGAGCCAAGCATGACAAGAGTTGCCCTCATCAGCTATGTGTGGCACACTGCGCGTTGTTCTACCTTTCAAAGGGCGGAAGCTGTGCTGCATAAGACTAATTCAGGTAATCCTTGAACACAACGATTGATTACACTCCCTGAAATCATCATGGAAGTGAAGTTCACCCGCCTGTTTCATTTCTTCCAGCAGTTCTGGATGGTTTTTAGGAAACTAAGGGATTGGATGTGACATCCCTATCGATTCCTATCCTCCAATGGGCACCGCTATCGGTGGTGCCGGTATATATGTTTCTATCCCAGAAAGCGATGTTTGGTGGGCAGTGAAACTCAAGACTCCATTGTGTTGTTTTTTGGGGTGTCCTATATAAATTTGCACAGAATTTCGTCATTGATATGTTTTGCGTTTTTGGGGCCACAACACTACTGTAGTGGATTTGTCATTTAAGCAAAGCCAGTACATAGAAAAGATGAACAAAGAGCTGAAGATTCTTGACTCCTGCCCTCTTGACAACTGCTCAGCTGCTCTCGTTACCTTCGCGGACTGCTTCGTTGGACCGGATTGCTGGGCTCAAAACCGCCCAAGACGAACGACCAGTTCCAGTTCCCATCTTGGGCCAAGAAAGCCAGATGTTCTGCACCAGTTGGTTCCTCCGTCAGGATTTGCAGTTTTATTCTGTCGAAGACTCATTGAAAACTACTGAAATTGTTGGTCCAAGAGGAGAGAGAGAGAGAGAGAGAGAGTCAGAGAACGTTATGAGGCTTTCATCATTTTAGACTCGACGTCCTAACCTCAAGCAGACTCAAGCATGGTGCAAATCGTTGAAGGAATACAAGGGTGAGCAGGAATTGTCAAAACCACCTGGGCACCTGCCATGGTTGAATATTATGATGTCTAACAGGAACCATGGCACTTGCTCACAGGACCGTGGTACTCGCCATGCTCAGTTTGGTACTGGTCACTGCTTCTGGATAATTGAACGTTCGCATGCATCATCATCGACTGCCTGTGGGAAAGAGAGAATCCACTGCCACTTGGAAACATGACGCCGACGCACTAAGCTACCACCAGAAGCAAGCTACCACCAGAAGCTATCACCAAAAGCTGTCACCATTCCACACCGACGCACGCCGCTACCACGGCCAGCCGAGCCCAAGCACGGAGGCCGAGGTTGGGCGGGGCACTCCGTCCATCGATGGGGTAGACTGGGCCCAGCAAGTAACAAGACCCACCCCAAACATAGGGACCCAGTATAAGGTATAGAAGGGACCCCAACGCCCAGAAAAAAGAGACCTTCTTAGTACCTTCCCAGAAAAAAAAAGACCTTGGAGACCTAGGGACATGTTTATAGATTCTTATTACACACACAAAGTCCTTAGAATCCTGATCAACTCATGTCTCTTTCATGTCCGTCCTTGAGAGTTGGTTCGTGACTCGTGACGCAAGTTTGGTCGAGTCCGCGCAGATCGACCAGGGAAGAACGTTGTTCGGCGAAGAACGAAGCGAACAACGAAGCCAAACAAGCAATTTCTCTTACTAATAGGTTCTGGTTACTATTGGCGATGCACCTGTTACTACTAGCGATGCACCTGTTACTATTCCAAGAAACCTACTCGCACAAAAGTGGTGAACATGGGTTTGCTATGGTTTCCTTTGCTTTTTCTCGACGCCATGGGGATTTGGCAAATCAACCCTTCTGGGCCTTCCTACGGAGGCCCATGCCGGACGAGCGGAGCAGCCGTCCCAGCGGCGGAGCAGCGGAGAGGCAGGACGTTCTGGAGGGTCGGTGGATGGCCATACGCTCTGAGTTTGTGGAAGTCCTTAACACTAAGATGCAGTTTCTAATTATGTGGCAAAGTTCAAGAAACAACACAATGGTGCAATCAAAGAGTTGAAATGAGTGGTGGGGGGTGAATCAACACTCTTCTCCAAAGACAGAGAGATATGTAGATTGCAGAATTCCATGTAAGAAAGTACTTCATCCTTCCCTCCTTTCCCAGGAAAGCACGGGTCGGGCTGAACATGTCCGCTGGGTGTCCCAGGTGTCCGCACTCACTCGTCGATGTCGATCCAGGGACGCCACCGGAGTAGACAGTTGGATGGTCCGGTTGGGTTTTTCGGAGTAGTCAGCTGGTTGGAGGGTTCCATGGAGGGTTCCAGTCAGATGTTTCCAGTGTTTTTTGGGTTTTGGATAGCGGATACTAGCGGATAGCTATCCAAAAGTGTGTTTGACCCGCCCATGAAGATGATAGATACCTTGGATCAAACTGAACAACGGTGATGCTGATGGGTTTTCTTGCTAATCATTTGATCAACACCTTTAGAGGTTGTGGAGTGCGGACGGTCTAAATTGGAGGCTCCGTCAGATTGTCAGGTATGGAAATATTGGTACCAAGTCTGGCTGGCTGGAACAGAATATACAAGTTTATGCTCAGCTATGTTTTGGGACAGGCAACTCACCCTGACAGGGAGAATGAGCAGACTGCAAATGGAAAATGGAGGTGCAGAGGGGGCAAGTGCCAAGCAGCTGGTAGGCTTTACTTGTTTCACCAACCAGACAGATTAGGAATGAATGAGTTGAAGACATGAATAATACCGGCTAATCGATTTCAGTTTGATACAGAAACCGGAACACACCGAAAGCATGGGTTGTGTTCCTCTCCTAACCGCCCGAGGCTTTGGGTTCTTTGATTTCCTCGAACCGCCGTACCAATGCGCGCATGGCATCTTGCCAGAGATCGTGGAGGGCAAGCGGGCGACTGTCGAGGCTCGTTTCTCCTGGTGGTCTATTAGGTGTGACATCGTGCTACCCGGGAGTAGTACTTGTGCCTCCCCAGCTACATGATGTAAATCAGGTGCTTTTCCGATGTCCTTTCTGTAATACGAGCAGATCACGACTGGATAAGAGTTGTGGTGTTTGTGGGAAGGGTTTGGCACCGGCGTCAAGCTGGTTCCCCTTGCGAAATCAGTTCTGTCAGCGAAAGCTTGCGTAAGAAGCAAACAAACAGGGTTAATTATTACAAAAAGTGCTTCTGTTTTAAAACATGCTTTGATTGATACTGAACAAGTGATCGGTTTGTTTTGCAACTGAACAGGTGTCTCTTCATTTTGACACTGAATAAGTGTCATCTCTCGTTCTTTTCTTTCCTACTTTCCGCAGGGTGCAGGAGAGACACGCCTTCTATGCTTGTTGGATTTTGGTGGTCTATTTGGTTCTCATTGTGAAATTGTGAAGCTGTGCATTTGTTGTGATTCTACCTCAGCAGGGACAGTGTTTTTTTTTGCCGAGCATGCTACAAATCGAAGCGTGCCCTTTCACCGGCCAGCAGCGCCAAGCTGAAAAAAGTAGAGTAGAGTACACGCTGCCCACACCCTCCTCTCCCTCCAGCCGATTCTGCTGCAGGACAGACTCTTGAAGTGTTTTCCTGCATGGACTTGGACCATTGGGGCCAATATTGAAGACCTAACCATCCCACACAAAGATTTGTCAAGGATCTGAGTAATCCCTGGAATCCAGAGCCAAAAAATGAATGCTTTTTGCAACAGCGGAAGCACCGTAGGTTTGAACATGTTTTTGCGCAGAACGCAGCGCGAAAACCAAACTGCAAACCTCGAAAGTGTTGCAAACGGAAATTGCAAAAGAAAACTAGAACACATTCTCGATGGGTTCGAACAACGCTCAGCTGAACTAAAAGTCAAACCATGGAACGAATGGATACGTAGGTCGAAGCCTACTGTCGGGGTCAGGGGATGTCAGGGGTCAGGGGCTCGGTCAGGGATGTGAATGTGTATTCGGGCCTTCAAGTCAGCATTTGGATTCTGATCGTACCGTGACAGAAAAACACCCCAACTGGCTGGAGGATGGCACCCCAGAATTCAGGATGGGGGATGAACACCACAGGAATACACTATGAATATATACACTATATTTTTTCCTTCACCAGCCAGGTAATGTAAACATCAATCATTTTGCGTCACCTGTTTAAGTTTGGAAACGGCTACACCAAAGAACCAATCAGATTCTGCCAGCTACATCCGTCGTTCTTGGAAGACACGTTCCGTCCAACGGGACACCAAAGGACCGGACTCAGTTTGAGGGCGCAGAGAAGGAGCTGAGGCCGACGGCATCGATGATGGTATCGACGTGTTGGTTGAAGGTGGTGGTGAACTGGCTGAGTTTGGCAGCGGGATTTTGGGAGTTACTAGGCATCGCTACCAGTAACAAGGGCATTACTACGCCCGCAGCTGTTCCCGTTCCGCAACACATGCTGTGTTGGTGTTGGATCCGGAGGTCCGACCCCTTGCGAAGCTGGGCCCTTTTTTCGGATTCTTGTTTGGGTGGTACAGATGTTGCAGAGTGAGACAGCGAAGACCAAACGGGGTGTTGAGTCTTCCTGAGTTGCATTTTGTTAGTGTGTTGTCTTCATGATTTGGTTGTTTTTAAAGGTGTTTGAGGCGGGAACATTCCCTTGACTCTAGCTCTCCCAAACAACGGGTCCCTGAAGCATGTTGTCCACTCTGAATGAGCAGCTGTTGCGGTCCAACGGACCGCTATTATGCAAGTATTTGGACATCACTTGTCATTGCCTCATTCACTATAGTTGACATCAAAGTTAACAATTCTCTATAGTCAGAAGAGACATCCCCCGCAGGGGAAGTATGTGGTGGTATTTCCTCAAAAAAAACATGGTTGGTTGGGCTGAGGAATCTGCAACTGGCAAAGTGACACATTTCTTCAAGTTTGCTTATGAATGGCCCGGGCTTGTGCGGAGCAACAGTGCTTCGGCGTTTAAGTGGTTTCAAAATGGCCGCTTAGGGAGTTCAATTATCATCGTGAGAGAGTTTCATCTTCTTTGAGTAACAGGATGACTGGACAGAAGAGAAGTGTTTGAAGCATCCATTCTCGGGTCCATCCTCCGCAATACTTTGCAATTGCGACCCGATGCATTCCACAGGAGAGTTGGAGGGGAAGAGGAGGTCGTGGCATGTTACAAGCAGGAGCTGGGAGGGGCGGCTGTTGATTTGGGATGTGTCATTCCAGCCCACAGAACTTACAGCTTCAAGCCACCTAATTACTAAGAAGTTGGGTTTTGAATGGCTTAAACCACAAAAACAACATGTTTTGTTTTTCCGTTATTTCTTCCATCTGGTGGGGAAAACTTGGGATTACTCAGCTGCTTCCTTAAGACAGAGACCCTCCCTGAAAGAACCATGGAAGTGGACAATCCCCTGTTTGTAGAGGAAATCGGATTCCATCCGGTGGGCCCACAGGTCGTCCCAGCGTGGCCTTCTTTGTTCTCGACCCCCGTCACGGTGGTGGGCCGGAGAATTCATGGAAGAACTGAATGGAGTGGCCACGGGTGTCCAAAAAGACCCCGAAAAAGGGTCGGCCATCAACAGGTTAAGGCTTCGGATCATTGCTTGAAGTGCCGTTTCCTTCTCGAACCGCCACCCCTGACCTCTCTAGACCTGAAAAAGACCCCCGTCCGTGCCGCCGTTGACCAGGCGGCGGAGCGGGAGGCCAAGGTCATCGAAAAGGTGGGTCCGCAGGACCTGAACTCCCAGGAGGTCCTGGGTGGGGAGCACCAGCTTCGGACCGAGCCAGCACGCAGCTGGAGGTGATCACCGATGGTGGTGCAGGTTCGGCACCGGGTGGAGCTGATCTGTTATTTGTTGCGAATGGTTGCTGATCTTGATCTTCCTTTCGCTTATCACGCCTCGTTGGCTCTGGTCACGCCTCGTCTCAGACCTCTCCAGACCTTCACGCCAGTTCTGTCCGAAGACATCGAACAACCAATCCACTTCTGGGGATGGAGCTCCAGCGATTCCGGAAAAGACCTCCGGAGCGCCATTTCAAAGAAGAAGACTAGGAGCCTGACTCCCATGTGTGTTTTTGTTTAAAGAGGTTTTAAGGGTCAAACGGACTGAGAGAAAGATGGAGTACCTATTTACAGGTGATGATAGGTGTATTTGTTCATGAAGAATCAATGCCTGAAGAATCATTGAATCATTTCACCTATAGGGACCTCGCAAAACTGCACATGTTCCGTCTAATGGTGATTCAATGACCAACCCCATTTGGGATGCCAGAGCGGGCTTCAGAGCGGTGCTGAGGTGACCAATGTTTGGATCTCAGCATCAGAGTTATGAGTCATGTGTTGAGAGGGGGGGTTGAAACCTTTCAAACTCAACTCATCAGATCTTTGTTGTATTTTGTGGTGAAACGCCCTCTTCAAAGAAGTGGACTCCTTGGATTGCCATGAGTGTGGAGTTTATCTGGTGCTTTCTTTTGCGCCTCGATTTAGTGTCTCATTCGCTGGAAATCGGAGGTTCTTGAAGTTTTACATGAAAAGCAGGTTCTTTGCCTCTGCACATGTGCCCCTGAAAAGCTTGTTTCTATCCCAAGGTTCTGGGGATAAGTAGATGGATGACATGAGCTTTGATGCAAATTTGGGGATGGCGGTGCTTTGTGTTCACCACCTCACCACGCCCGTATTGACAAAAACTGTCCTCCAGTCGTTTGTACATTGGTCACAAAATACGTCGCCATACGCAAAAATCGGGGAGACGGCAGGGGGGCACTTGCTTTCGGGCGAACAGAACTGCACCTAAACTCTACACTCTACACTTCACTCCATTTGTTCGATGATTCGATGAATGGCAAATTCCAGGAATGTGGACCAGGACGTGGATGTAGTAAATCGCTACCAGTATCGCTCATGGATCAGGACATGGTTGCTTGATGTTGCTTGTATATAGTATACATGACCTTTCTTTTTGATGGACGTGTCTTCGAAACCAGCAGAAAGAAACAATGATGACCTATAGCCGATCATTCTACCATTCATCATGCTTCACATGATATACAATCATCAAGAAACCCACCACCAGAGAAACCATAGGACCATATAAGACCTAAAGACGTGACAGTTGAATTTCGGACCCATTCCATCCACTGAGGGGCGGATGAAGGTCGCGGGCGACCGCATTGTGGTGAACCAGGCGGACGGTCGAGACGCACGCAGCGAGGTTCCGATAGTAGAGCCGGGTAGAGTTACGGATTATTCTTGCAGGTTTAGGGCAGGGTGGAAAGCAACCAGTTGGAAAGGAAACCACCTATGCATGCGCAAGAGTTGGGTTTCCATGAGAGTACAGATGTATTCTCAGATTGCTTTTCATCTAGTGTGAACAAGTTTGCACAGTGTTCAGAGATGCCGGAGAATGCATTGGTTCGTTTCCCTACCAGCTGCTGCTGGCACATGAATCTTCCCAAACCTGCAGGCCCCAGTTTGCAACCTGAACAAGGGGAGATCCGAAGTGAACCAGCAGTGTCCTTCCGAAGTCGTCAGGGCCCTGCAGGAAGGTGCTAGAAGTCGTGGGGATAGCCATGGGATTCTACGGGCATGCATAGGATACGAAACAGACATCGAGACATCGCTTGGAAGTTGATTGGAGGTGAAGACCGCCAGCGCGTTTTGTACTCTACCTCACATTGCATGGAAGTAACTTGCCCCTGAAGTGGCTAAGATCTTCAAAGTATCCTCCCTGAAACACTCACGGAGCTAGGAAGGGGCGCCCCTTGGATGACGTACTCTGTCCTCTAGAAACACATAGTATCACATCGTTTTCCACTTCCATTCCCTAGGGCTCCAACCATATCCTCAGGTTCGGTGGTTAGACCCCCCAAACCCACCCCAACCATCTTCTCAGGAGGTGGTTGGAGCCCTAGGGGTTTTTATTTCAAGGACCCATCTCTCCGGGTTTCCTACGTCCTTTCGCTGTCAAGCGCTCCACGTCAAGCGCCAAGGCAACACGTCGATCACGGTCACGGTCACGGAGCCGCTCCGGGAGTCGTACCTTGGATTTTTTCTGATGCTGAGTGAGTAGTGAGTGTCGATGCAAAGATGAGTATGAGTAGTGAGTAGAGAGTAGTGAGTAGTGAGTGAGTAGTGAGTGTCAATGCAAATCCTATATGTTTTTTCTTTTCGGTGGTTTTCGGACCCAGATTTGGAGCTGATTTGGAGCTGTACTCGAGACCTCAATCGGTGTCAGCATTGACTGCTCCCGCTTTGATGCGCAATGTAATCTGAACGGAAACCGTTGGTGGGGGAAGAGTAGCCACAAAAAGGTGAGTATGCTCCACCAAGCTTTGGTTAGAGGGTATCCAAGCAGATCATGGCCTTCTTCAGGACACAACAGTGCTCTTCTGAAGTACTTTTCAAAAAAGGAAATACCACGACTGATTTTGCATAGTTTCCCATGGAATCCCAGGGAAAAACATGGCCATAGTGAATGCGCCTTTATGAGAGTTCTTGTGATTCAGGATATTACTAAGGCCAGAATATGCCAGAATTCATGATTCTTGCAAAGTGGGTCACGTACAATCTATGTATCGAGTTGGAGGAACCTCTCATCACAGCAACAGCAGATCTTGTCGCTGGACGACCAAACTTGCTCTTTTGTCTGAGGTGCCAAGAAATGACGATCCTTCTTTTCTTCGCCCTGGAGCACGAAAATCCCATTTTGGCTGAAAGGTAAAATCACATCAATGAGGCTGCCGTTGTGTAGGTCGTATTGTGTAGGTGCAGCGAGTATGAAGCACATGCAAGACATCCTGAAGGAATGATCAAGGCGGAACTGCAGGGCCCCTCTTCGCCAAGCGTAAGTGATCCGATCCTTAGACAGAGGGTATGTATAGCGATGTGATCTTCCAAGAGCCTTGTGACCTTAGCATTTGATATCATTTGATGCTCTTAGAGCCAGGGGCATCAAGTTCCCAGCTCCTTTAGCTTCACCTTCAAGTGGCCGGCGAAAGACTGTGCCGCAGAAAGACCTCGTGACCAAAGACCTCTTTGCTATCCATTTGAAAGACAAGCCGAGCGCAGCCAAGTGCAGCATGTTTCAGCGATGTTTTCTTGATTCTCATTCCGATCATGGGGTCTCTCCTAGTAACAGTCGGTAAACAATGATCAACATGTCAGACATCACTATTTGGAGAAAGTCCTTCACTCATCATCATCCACGGTTACAGTCCTAGGACACAGTCCACCGAAATGCATTCCCAGCGGTTCCGAAGGGTTCCGAAGGGCCACGCCAACGTGGTGACTACGGTGACTGAAGACCCCATGGCCACGCAACTTTGCCACGAAGAGCAGCATGTTCATCCTTTGGCTCAAAACATGGGTTGCGGGTCGCGAGCTAAGCAGCTACATGTTGAGAGCCACATCCTGAAAAAGCAGTATGTATCTACCGCTCCTGATCGAAGCACATGGTAGCTCGTTTTCGGAATTCATGTCAGAGTCATAGCTGTAGAAGCCATGTTTAGGGTTTCATTCCATGTCCATACTGTTCAAATGAAAAATCTGTGCACTACCTTTACATCGCAGCGCCTTCTTTTTGGAGCATGGACACCAAAGCATCCAAAGCACACGCTTCGTATCGTATGGCGCGCGCTATCCCTCAGGGGGCCATGGACAGCACCGCGATGCGCCATGGCTCGATGTAGGTAGACCGGATCACCTGCAGAGGCGAGACATCCGTCGTTGCTTCCTTCATTCCTTTGGGGAGGAATAGGCAATTTGGGATTGGATAGATCCTTTGAGCTTGGACAACGCGGCAAACAAGTAGCACATGTCGCATCAAACTACAAGAGTTGGCCCAGAACGGGAAGGCCAGGGAGTCACTTTTCCAATTGGCGCTTGGTGTTGCGAAGTCCGCTTTCATGGACCTTCCTGGCGGTCAAAGCAACCGCTATGAACCTAAAAACCTGTTCCCCCTGGAGGCCGTCATGGTGCGGGGATGTGGTCGAAGGTCATTTTTGTCCAGGTGTTTTAAACAAAATCCAAATCCTGATTTCCAGCTCCCTTGACAAGCACATGGGTGGAGTACACGTATATAACCACATGCACACGAACACACACACACACACACGAACACACACACACACACACGAACACACACACACACAACATACACATACACACACACACATGGGCGTGCGTGCACACACACACACACATGGCCCACTCAGAAAGCTGGCAGATGTTGTTGTTGTTGCAGATTTTGCGGCAAGTTGTACGTAGGAGTAGGAACACGTGTTTCACATATTATATGATTCCTTTGGTTTTCCTTAGAAGGCATAATCGTATATAAAATAGTATATATACATAGATAGATGGAGAATCCAATCCAAACGATTCGGATATGTTGATAATCTTTGGTTTACTCAGGTGTTGTATATTACCCATTTCTGTCCTGACAGCATGAACCAATCTGTTTTGTGAACAATATCTTTTGGGATCTGTTTGGTTCCCCCATTGTTCATGAGAGAGTCGGAGAAGGCACCTCAAAAGCCTGCGCAGGCGCCAGAGGCGCGCGCCCGCCATGGCGCCCGTGGCTTCGTGCGGATTCGTCCGGAGTCCCATTTCGCACGCGTGGAAGATGGACCTGAAGACCTGGAAGACCTTTTCGCTGGCCAACCTGGTGCAGTGGGTTCTTTTGACTGATAGCCGCAGATCATTCGGCTGGACATTTTCCCCTTTGATTCACAAACAGGAGACGTATGCCAAAAGATCAGCCTCCTCAAGTTCAAGGTTGAAGTTCAGGGACGGGACCATGCCACTTTCTTTTTGCACGTCCAAAACCTTGCACGTCCCATGTTTAGTCGTTTGGGCTATCATCCATGTGTCGCTTGCTCGCTCACGCTTGCTCCCTGAGTCGACTGTTGACACCAGAACGACGCCATTGGACGGTGTGGGACTGCAGCGCATTGGCTGTGAAACGTCACAGCCATTGGACGTGGGGATTCCTGACAGCTGCACCACGGGATTCCTGTCGCTCACAGGCCGTGCATGCGACCAAGAAAGGGGTCCGAAGCTGAGCGATTGGAGCGACATCCGAGTGGGCAGGCCTGGCCTTTGAGGCCTGGCCTTGTCCTTTTTAGCCAAAGAGAACCATCGCTGTTGGGCAAGCTTACCCATTTTGAGATCATTGAAGAGGCAATGTTGGTGCCGTTTTGACAAGGATTCTTCACCAGACCTGAAGACAGGCCCATAGCAGAACCATATAGTTTATTTTTTGTGGGTTCTGATGGACCCCAGATTGCGCCTATGCTGGACCTTGAGTGGTCCCCTGATAAGAAGAAAGCGAGGGCACCTCAAGTACTTATTGGAAGAGATTCGATGTTTCATGATTTTAGGGTACATGGATATATAGTAGACACAAATCTTGAATTGTGTGCATGTGTGGCTTTCCATCATACGTTTCAATAAACCGCAAGTTCATGTTGTTTGACGTAGTCGACTGAAAACAAGATAAAGACAGACCATGACAGACCCAGATAAATGGCTGTGAGTCATGGCGCCTCCCTCACCAACCTCATGGTACTCGTAGGTTGACACCACCCGATGGCGGGAATCTCATTTTCAGAGTTCCACCAGGGTGCCCGGGCTATGACCGCCAAATCAGAGTTTTGACCCAGCAGTGCCCGCGGCGGAGCCGGTGGTGCACGTGGTCAGGAGCTGCCTTTGAAGGTGGAGAAGCGCGCCAAGGGAAAGAAGGCAAAAATTGAAAGCGCAAAGCGTCAAATGGCTGCTTGATGAAAAAAACAATCCAATATGAAGAGGTGTTACAATCCAAATGCGTTTGTTTGTTAGTTAATCGTCTATCATGAGATTTGAGAGCGATTGGAGAGTCGCAGATTCAGAAGGCCAGTCGCAGATGTTAAAACCATATTTAATTTGCATTGGATGTTTGGTACGTTATTAGTTATCAGTTATCGATAAATGACAAACACATGGGGAAGCTCATGACACACGTTACTATTCCTTAATGGTTGTTTGTTGTCATAGGAAACAAGCTATCGCCAGACAACGTGGGTACATCTCCGTTGGGACTCCCCAGTTGGGACTTCCGTAGTCACTCCAGCCGCAGTATTGTGTGCAAAGCCAAGGTGGGGGGGAGTTTGGGCAGAACAAATACATCACTCACCCAGGTCCAAAGACCCGGAACCATCAAATGGACCGGACTGGAAGACAATGGAAGACATGTTTTCCTCTACAACCCGACGTGGTTTTCAGGTTCCATGTTGGGCCTCAGGACCTGGAAGACATGTTTTTGACTGTGGCACCCATTGGATTGTTTGGTTTGTTATGCTATGTTGATGCTCTTCAGGTCTTGTGTTTGTCGCTATGTTTTACCCGGTTGTTATGATAATTATGATATCTTATTATGTTTCCAGACGGCGACACCAAACAAACGCAACATATCTTTGACACTCTTTGACAGCCTTAACTCCAAACAACACAAGGCAATCACTTGGTTTCTCTCATTATAATGTTGATCCCTATAAATCCCAGAGCCTCCCTTTGGGGAACCTGTACCGTTCATCCGAGCGTCGCACCCGTGAAACCTCGCGAAGGTGACGATCATCGGCAATGTCTCCGGCGATGCCATGCTGGCAGAGTTTGAAGAACCGTGAAGAACCAAGAAAAAAAACACACATATCATTTAGATTATATATATTTAGAAACGGTATATATAACACATAAACGGTTTATTACACACATAACACAAAAAAATAAAAGAACCATAAACGGTATATATATATATACATCTTTGTTGTTTTGTTTAAATGTTATTTCATGGTAGGCCCTGGGCCTGGTTTTTAGGTGATCCGAAAAGGCATCTTCCTCTACTTCGTTGTGGACCCCCAAAAAAACTATGTACTGACTCGTGTGTTCTATTTAAGGTGTTTAGAGGGGTTTGTACCCCGCAAGCTACGTGTGTGAATTGTGGAACCTTAAAAAGAGGCCCCAACAGGAGGAACAAAGAGCCACAGCTTCTGAACAACCGGATGCGCTGGATGGGCACGAGATTTCGCCAGACCAGGACTCGTTGTTGGGGTGGTGAAAGATCCCCCTTAAACCTCTTTTGGACACCTTCATGTGGGATATATAGAGAAGATTGGGGTCATTTGGGTCATGCGAATTGCGGATGGTGTGCTTCACGTGGGATCTTGTGACCATTTGAGTAGCTGTTGCAACTGAAGGGACTGGGAGCGTGTTGCTTGGTGATGTTTGGCCCACCGGTGAACATGAACTCCGGACACCGGAGACCAACTGACGGGCTACTGGGAACAGGACTGGAACGTTGAGAGGAGAGTTCCATAGAGTCCCTATGTGTTTTTGTAGTGACCTTCAATTTCATCGTTTTGGGAAAAACAAAGCTTGGATTCCCCTTATTTATTTGGGGATGAGTCAAAACCTGGAGCTCTGGTCCACGTAACTTGTCCATTCTCGGTAGGTCAAGGACTGTCATGGTGAGCCGGACGCCGAACTCCTGCGCCAGGCCACCCGTTTGTCTCGCGGGCTGCAGACCATGCTGGGAGTTGGTGGTTCTGTCCGACAGGCGCGGGTCTTCTGCAGGGTTCCGCAGGACATTGAAAGGTGTTTCTATTCAGTTTGTTCCGGGATTTTGTGGTTGTCGTTGTTGGTTGTTCTTCTCCTCATCAGGCAGGTTCTCCTCGGCACCGAACACCTCATCGACTGCGGGCTTGTCGTGACCCCCTCCTGAATCGCACGTGTCGCTGTGTCGCTGTGCGTCGAAGGTGGTCGACGGTTCATAACGGTTCATCCGGCCCCCATCTTCTCCTCGCTTCTCCTGGTCCGGTGGGTGGGCTGCAGCATTGGACACGTCAGCCGGTGCTGCAGGATTGGGCGTTGATGTGTGTTAGATATACATCGATTTCAGAGCCTTTACAGAAATGAATGCTGAGTCTTCAGATTGCACAGGACCATTGGTCTTCCGAGTTTCCGGCGGTTTTTCCGAGTTTCTGGAACCAAATTGGTGAAGTTTCATGGCTGAAGGGTCTGCCCCTGCTGGCGGTTCTTGTGTCGCGCCTGTCCAACGGTGATCGCTTCGAGGCTGAACGCGGCTCTTGGTCAGTGGAAGTGCAGGGTGTTCGGGGCCCGGGCGTGCTCGGTTCTGAAAGGAGTCGCTCTTGCGTATCCCAGTCGGATGGGTGTTTGATGGTTTCGGCAGCCACTTGGCATATTGATTCTCATTGGGGCTCGTTTGGTTTCTCAGGGGTGATTTTGAAGGATGTTTTGAGAAGAATGTTTTGAGAGATGATGCGGCCTTTTGTTCAGCAAGTGTTTAGGATGTTTAAGGTTGTCCAACGAAACACCAAAAGTGTAGTTTGACTGGACATTTGTCCTTTGATGTCCTCTTCCCTGCTGTTTTTGGTTTTTAAGTGTTCACAGAAAAGGAGATGCACGACCCATATTTGGTTGTGTGATCTAACATCATGATTGCCAAAATACATCATCTCTCAGTAATAATACATCATCTCTATATCAATCAAACTATCGAAAGGTTCCTAGCTGAATTTAAACACCATCCTCCACGTTCTCTAGGAATTCGGTCAATCGAGTTCTTTACACTGGGACTCACCAACGAAGTGGAAAATCCCCTGTTTCCAGAGGAAAGTAGTCTTCCAAAAATGGCACATGATCCACTTTCATTCCAGTGAGTCCCATTGTGAATTGAGTTGTGAATGCCTTCACCCCAAAAATGTTTGACCCATGTCCAACCCTCGGAACCCTTTACTGCCACGCGTCGTTCTTCTTCCGCACGTCGCGTCTGAGGACCAAGTGCCACGCGTCACGAAGGCACTTCTCGACTTTCAATGCCTTCACGGACTCTCGAGCAGTTCCTTAGAGGCCCCACTTGGCTCACGGGCTCCGTGGCGCCGACAGACGACCTGTGGCGCCGAACGAAAAACCCGCAACACTTGGGACACTCCATGTGGAACTCAGAAACATTATGACGTTGCAATGGGAATCCAATGATCGGTTTAAACTAAAAGAACGACCAGTGACACGTGTTTTCCCTAGGTTTTAGCTGCCTGCATGGAAAACAACACTTGCCACTTGAGATTGTTTGGGAGGTCACATCGATACTGCGAGAACTGTGTGACACACGGGTGTTTCCTTCACGCGTGTGACACGAGTTGTTTGTTTGTCCCGATATCCCACCAGTGGTTGATCAGAGTTTCAGCCTTCCCCTGATTCCTTTAACAACACAACAATATGTTGTGTTTTTGCCTGGCATTGGATGGACGTTGCATTTAACCTGCGACTATTTGAGTTTGTAGTCGGTTCTGTGCAAAAAACATCAACAATTGCAGGCAAAACACGACCGAAACGCCTGCGCACTTGCGGATTCAAGAGGTTCTTGTCTTGTTGAAATATAAGATGAAAGCATTGAAAAAGCATTGGAAATACAAAACGGTTCCATTTTGGCCCTTGTTTCATGTTGATTCTGCCTTGTGGTCTGCGGATTCAAGAGGTTCTTGCATCCCGCACTATCCGAAGCGAAGCGAGTTGGACCATGCTGGATTCACTGGGCCTGGTATCGCCACTCCCAATCAAGGCACATGGGTTTGTGCGACCAGACACGAGCTGTTCCACCTCTCATGTCGCCTTCCCCTCGGCCCAGACCGCGCGGACCCTGAGCGAGTCCCGGCGGACAGACTCCGTGGTGGATCGTGCGCCGGGCGCAGCAGCTTCGGACGCGACACTGTTGGGTGTCTATTTATAAGCCCCAACTAGCTGTGATTCGGGGTGTCCATTAACCACCCAACTCCTGGGGGTCCTAAGGAGGATGGGGAGACTGGGAGGGCGAGATGGCACCAGCTTGACAAGGCAAAAAGGAAAGGCCAAGCAGGATCTCAGACAAGGCAAAAAGGGATCGAACACCGGCTGAGAACATATTTGTTTGAGTCTTTTTGCTGGAAACCAGGCAGAGAGCACAGCTGCACATGACCAGGTACAGCTGCTACGAAGTTCTTAGCCCAGACACGCTCAGCCCGGGAGCCCGAGCCCTCGTGGACCGTGGAGGGGCGCTTGAGGTGTGCCGAAGGGGTGAAGGTCGACCCGGTGCTCCGGTCGTACCTGGCATGAGGAGCTATGACCAGACCTGGACCATGGAGCCCTAGGGCCGAGAGCCCGCACAAATCGAGTGGAGTCGTCCACGTGATCTGGAGTGGAAAAGGACATGTTCTTTTGTGATCTAAAAAAGGTCACTTTTAGACATGGTCTTCAAGGGTATAGAAGTGTCTTTAACCTTTTCACCCCCCCCAGCAAAACACATCCTCACGGCAACCTGAGCCCATCCTTGAAGGCCTTGCATAGCAAACGTTTTGTCTACCGCCCCCCCTTCTCTCAAGTTGTAAGGTTTTTGCTGGACTTCTGGCTCTGGAGGGTTATAAGATGTAAGGATTTGGAGTTGGACGCTCATGGACTTTAGGGAACGATGTTGTATTCGGATCCATCTCTCTTTGGCGGTGGGTCTCCTGGGTCGAGGGTGGGCGGGTTCCGGGTCGACCAGGAGCTCGAAGTTGGACGATGTTTTTGTGATGGTTCTGGTGTTCTTTTTGTGGTGGATGAGTGGGTCTAACCGGTCTAATGTATAGTGATCCCCAAATAGATTGTGGCCCCGTTCCCAATGCACGTTTAGTGGGGATCTACTTTTCTAGCTGTTTGGGGGTCTATATACCTGAGGTTACATTGAATCATCGTGTTTGGAGACGCGACATCTTCCGCAGAAGAAAGCTAGACGAACACATTGGACTAGGAGGAGCAATCGATCTTCTGTTCCTTGATGTTGATGGTTGGTTCATGATATTTGAGGATGTGACCAAAAACACATCTCAGAGCCAAGTTGCTTTATTCCCAAATCTTTGGAGTCATGCTGTTGTGCTTTTCCAAACATCGCCTGTATTCTTTTTGCACGAAACATGTGCAGACCGCACACCCGCACCGCACCTTCTTCAAATGCGGCACCAAGGGGGCCTCAATGTCTCCAGAAGAGGAGCGACGGCGGCTATTGGAGCAAGAGGCTCTCGGGTTGATTTCTGCAAACGCAGAAGACATATTATTGATGTGTTTTTGTGGGTGGAAACAATGACACCCCAAAGCACCATACCTGTAGGTGAACATCCTCAGTAGACTGTACACTTCATCGTTATATACCATGATGCTAGCCACAGGTTCCAAGTAGCCATATGAACATGCAGAGTTAGGAGAGCTTTGGACTCCGTTGCGGAGCCACTTGTATCTCCACCCAACATCCACTGGACTTCAGTATGGCCCATGTCGCCTTTTCACTAGCGAGTCCTGTCCTCTGTCGCGCTCAAGGGTGCTGTCCCGAGCTGGCGCACTGGGCGAACGAGCGAACGGTCCGCGGGTGGCGACAGGCGGAGTTCTACGGACAGTTCTGGGAGAGCGCGATCAGCTCCGGCGACTTCCTCGACATCTTCGAGGCTGGCAAGCTGGCTGGCTGGCGGGAAGGCGTCTATGGCGTGTATGTATGAGTTGGGAATGGTACGTAGTATGAAGGACATAAGAACGGTTTTGAACAGGCACAAGATCGTAGGTAGTGATTTGCAAAAGACCAGGAGGAGGCAGAGAGACACACGCAACATGCCAGTGTTTTTTTTCTTGTTTGCATTCAAACAAGGGATTGAGAGGATAAGACAAGATGGATCCTTTCCACATAACCCACAAGAACTTGTCACCCTGATTGTGATTGCCAGAGGACTCCAACAGCATGCTTGTTTCCTGGAGTGTTGATTGAGTGTCGCAGTATGACTAGCCGCAAATATTTGTTGTCACTGGGAAACCCATTCTTACCACCTTTGGTACTGCAGCAGTATCAGTTTTCGCCCATGAGTTGATATCCCGAGGAAAGACAGGTGGACGCAGAAATCGGATCAAGTTCAACAGGCTTTCGTTCCAACAACAGTGGATCCACCATGTACAGAGGTCACTCACTATCATCTCACCAGTACTTATTCGTTTCCAACTCCCCCAGTACCCTTCATTTACCCTCCTGTAGATGAACATGGACCCTTAAAACCACTGCGTGGTAGATGAGAAGAGTCTGCCCGGGGTACCCACCGTACAACACGGTGAGGGGTCTAACGGCGCTCGCTGGGGCAGTACTGATCGAACAGCCCCGAGACCTAAAAGCTGAACAGACCAAGTGCTACGAATGAATCTGAAGGAGAGTTCCGCTTCGAGAGCAACTTGAAGAAGGAGCCAAAGCAATTTGGATCACCGGGAACACGCAGAACACGCAGATGGCTTAGTCGGCGGCTTCGTTGTCCATTTCCCAAGCAGGCTGATGAGGAACACCTCATTCTTGAGCCCGGTCGCCATCTTCCCTGCATCGCAGGTCGAAGTCCAAGAGCTGCCGCCCGGTCAGACAACTTCACCGCGCCGTGGCAAGCTAGTTGGGGAGCTCGGAAGCAGGAGGATCTGGTCCGACCATGATGCTTTGCTATGCTTTGTTAGATTTTGGAAATGCTTGGTTGGGTCCAGCAAGATTGAATATGTTGTTTTCTAGCTGGCTAGGGAGGGGGACGTGGTTTTGAAGGCACCAATGGCTATCAGTCCATGTCTGGGTTTCCTTTCCGTTCCAATAATTTTTTGTGGGCTCGGTTTTCTTGGGATTTCTAGAAGGCTTGTGACAAGCTGCTTGTACGAACTCTTTAGACTCTGATACAATTCCCAAGAAGCCAACAATTTACTATCCCCACATCAATTCCCCAGGAAACACCGAGAGGTGTTGGGATATGTGAGTTAGGATATGTTCACTGCTAGGGGTACGTTTGATTTCGGAAGTGTAGTCCAGCATTCTTTTCCAGAAGCATCAACATCTTGTCTAGTTGATGGAAGGAACACCACCACTTGACAGGTCACGCAACGACAATTTATATAGACAATTTCTGTATAGGTGGGTATTAGCCGCATCGGCATCTGCCACCCCCCAGTCGAGTCTATTCTTAAAAGACAAACCTCAACTGAAATTAAGGATTCTGTATGATTCTGTGCGTTTATGTCCGTTTGCAATGTGTTTGAGGTTTCTCAATTTGTTTGGATTTCTTCAAATTTATTGCATCAAGTTGGTGCATAACTCTGACTATCCTAAACTGTGTAAACGTTGCTCTCCCAGTCGTCGCGCCACCTGCCAGGAAGGCCCTGAGTTGAATATGGCCCTCCAGGCAGGGAAGTGAAGATTTGAGTCACAGTCACTGGGCCCAGTAGGGCGTCTTCCACTTCTTTGTGTAGGCAAACCCTCAGGAAGAACGTGTTCTCTTCTTACCGGCTCTTAGAACACCTATATGTGGATCAGCCACGGTCGAATTCAGAACTCCGTTTTTCTGTGGCCGGTGTGGGATCGTCAACTATCACAGTCCAAACGTGTTTCAACTAACAACGTGTCTTGCGAGGTGTGGAACTGCAACCCCTGTGAGGTGAGAAGAAAGCCATCCAGTCTTGCGGGATTCTACGGGGAAAAGGTGGTCAATTAGGAAAGCTTTCGTCCCAGTGGTGTATAGCAACACAAACTCTCCAGTGTCGTCACATGATGTCACATGAGTATGTAAAATCCACTAAACCAAGCAGGTCTTGATCTACTTTTCCTAGTGCCAGGTTGACGCTTGAGGGAATCTCCACATGTTCAGCCGGACTCAAAGCCTCATGTCCTCCTATGAACCAGCGGGTTGAGTGGCAGTGGTTCATTGCCCTCGATTTACTTCTTACGAACTTGGGATCTTGTCTCCTACTGGCTGTTCACCTTGAAGCATGTTAATTTCAATTGTGGTACAGTATATATACACCCTCCCTGCTAAACTAGATCCCCACTAAACATGTAATGGAAACCCTGCCGTCTTTTTTCGTTTAGTTGCCCAAAATAGCGCCAGAAGGTCAATCAGAATCAGTGCGGGCCGTGGAACTCTGGCGTTCCACGCCGTGGGAATTCGGACGCAGAATTTCGCAGAGACTTCGGTTTTTGACACATTTATATATGCCGCATTTATATATTTACCTACCTGGACCCCTTTTCAACTACCCCAACGTAGGCATAAGATATGCTGATATGCAACACATGGAGTGTTTATAGGTACCTTGAGGGACTCAAAAACATCCCTCGGTCGACTTTGGAAGCAAGATGAAGCAAGAGGCGGAGTAAGGAGATCACCCCCCCCAGCTGAAGGAGGATCACCATTGGCCTGCAGGCTTTTCCTAATCTTCTTGTACAGGCTGCAGGAGAACGAAGCATGTGCTGACGACTATGAACTCTCACTGGCTCATGTTTTTGCATGACTCGCTTGCCCTAATTTGAGATAATTTGAGCATGTTTGAGCTATGTCAATGTCTCTGGTTGTATCAGCCTCGAATGGCAATGCTCCGTCTTGGGGAGTGTGTTTATTTCTATTTTTGTGCTTGCCTGGTCGTTTGGTTTCTGCAACTTTCAACTATACTCGTATAATCTCTGAAACCAACCCCTAAACTACTAAAACCAGACTCTTGATCATTTCGTCATGTTGGAACTCTTTCTTTGGGTTGGACCTTCGCCGCAACCAAAACCGGCTGCAGACCTTGGGCCTGCTGGCAGAGTGTGGAAAAGCCGTGCGTGAGTTCTGGCAGAACTCCGGCATGAGCCTGCAGCAGTTCAGGTGCGAATCCCTCTGTTCGCGCCGCGGGCTCGGGGCGCGCGCGCACGGCGGCCGGGGCGGTGGGCGACGAAGCCGGTCGAGTCGCAGGGAGGCGGAGCTTGGAGCTACGAACGGTCCCCAATCCCTTGCTAGTTGATTGAAGAACACTCCCCAAGATTCCCCAATGGGTTTTGTAAAGCTTCATATCGTTTTGGTGTTTCTTTAATCGGCGTCTATAGGTTGGAAAGAGCTGCGATAGGGACTGGTCAAAATCTGCAGAGTATGTAAAAGTGTATCAACAGGCGGAAGTGACTCAAGCTACACTTGGATTGTGTGTGTGACGGATTTTGGTGAGACTGGGCTCTCTAAACATGCAACGCGGGCCTATGTGTTTCGCTCTGTAAAACGGATGTTTTTGGGTGCAATTAACTTGGATGCATTGAATTGCAATCATGCAAGAATTCAACAACAACAACAACAACAACAACAACAACAACAACAGAATCACAGCAACGAGGAAGACACATGCTCTACCTGAGGAAGGCTTACACATTTAGTTCTTTTTCCACTTGATTGTCATTTTTGTTTGGCGCATGACCTCTCCAATCCTGACTGTTTAAACAGTACCAAAGCGACACCAAACGGAAGACAATGCCTACAACGATGTATGCATCAACTTGGTTCAATCTGGTTGATCGTAAGATATCCTGAACCGATAACATGCACACAGCATCACACACAACCATGCAATTACCTCAATACAGTTCGGCATATACTATAGTAATATATATATATATATTTAGTTATTTATTTATTTACTTTATTTGTGAGATCTCCAGTAACAAAAATTGTATATCTCAGTGGCATTGAGTGTAGGTTGCATGTTCAAGGCATCTCTTTCATTGGGGACGGGATCCAAGGGGTCATCGTCCAGGTGTTCGTACAGTAGCTTCAGTAGCTAGATGGCACAAACCCCCAAGAGGATTTTGAGATGGGGGTCCATACACAGTAAACCACCTTTTGGGGGGTTTGTGCCATCTATTCTGAAACTTGTAAATGGTTGAATTCATCCGGCAATGGTATGAACACCCGATAGCCGTGGTAGCTGTGGTGGTCTTCTGGAAGTTCAGCCGTCAAAAGTATGCTCACACATATGATATGCGTATCCAATCCATAGACAAATGAACACTACCGCCCGCTATATAGAGCAGGACATAGTAGGACCTTTTGCAGAAGTTTGTCATTGGGATGAGGTGGTAAACATTTGTTCTCAGACCAATGTGGATTGAGCTTGACAACTCTACTCATACACTATACACACTCAAAAGACCTGAACCCAATCCCTCCCACTTCTCGAAAATGCTACAAGTTCTCGAAGATCGCGCCAGGAAGATGGCGATGAACCCCGGCGCCCGCATGGTCGCGGAGGGCCCTGGCCGCCGCGAGGTGCCGACGAACCTGAAGTCACGGCAGAGCCTCGGCGCGAGGTTGAAAGCATGCACATATATGCAAAGTGTGATAGAATTTGATAGATACCTGTCAGTGTGCCTTGCAACAATCACTAACCTGTTGGTAAAAGAAAAAAAACCTCACAGGTGCCTGGTAAGTTTTACAGAACGTATGGCTTTGGAATTTCATAGGGATACCCCTTGGGCGCTCTCTGGGTAGACTGGTCTATTTCCTCTTGGGGACGTATCCCTAATACACACCCATATTGATAGTTGGTTGGGTACTGTACTGTATCAGACAGGACAATTAGCAGGGAAGGGGTAGGAGCAGGGAAGAGGTAGGATTGTTTTATTGTTTTATCAACTTCTTTTTTGCATGACAGTCAGTATATGTCAGTGTGTAAAAAACTGATTCGTTAAGATAAAATTAGCCACTACTGGTTTTCACACAGTCGAGCTGACTGGACAGCGACGCTCAGTTGATTCATGAAGAGTACTGGAGTTGCAGATGAGATGCTGGTGGGTACTGCAGGCCGCCTACGATCCAGTGGTCATGCCCCCAAAAGTGACAGACCTACTTTGGCGTGGATCGCTCGGGTGATCTCAGAGCAGCACCCTTGAATTCGAACATCGAGATGGAGCTCCTTGAGTTGCACTTGCAGATCATTACTTCTTCGTTGACTTCCTGGAGACGCAGATTTTTGAGCGGCTGTGCACATTCATAGATGGACTAGTAGTTTAAACCTTGACCGGCCAGAGAGTTTTCTTAGTGCCCCTTTCGCTAACCAACTACGCCAACTTAAGCAGAATAAATTATCCGAATTCAAGGTCTTACTTGATAAAACGCTTGGCAAAGAGCCCCCAAACAAACAAAGCAGACGTATTTCCAACTGTATTTTGTAAAGCGATTTTGTACTAGATAAATTACCTCATTTTTCCAACTTGCTCCCAACTACCTCGCAAAACCTACCTCTTCCCCGCTAGTTGGCTTGCCCAAATGTATATTGACATGTTAGCTGTTCATGCAGAGCTTTGCTCCAGTTTTTCGATATTCGCTGATATTGGTCAGGACGACTCAGTGGTAGCTTGGTGAGGAGCATTCACGTCCTGTTCCTGTTTCACAGTCAAATTCTACAAGAAGAGGAGGTCGCGCAATGGCGTAGCGGCATGACCGTCAGATCCAACGAGGTCTCGAGCGGTCTCGGTTCGTCTCAAACTTTTCGGGGCCGTTGGAGTGACCGACCAGTATTTGCATTGAAATCTTTACAGACAGAGAATCTTCAGTTCAATGCTCTGGGGTGGGCTCACATCTGACAAATCTTCACCTAAAAGCATGGTCTGCGCAACCAAAATCGAACAGGAAAATCTCGAACAGTGCCCCCAACTGCGTAGGTCCGCCTGGACAGCTTGGCTGCTTGCAAGTCCCATTTTCAGAGCACAGACCGCTGACGAGCTGAGCAACAGACCAAACTCCAAATTCACACAGTCAGATCTCACGTAACTGGCTCAAAAAATCACCCAAAAAACTGTCCCTCCAAAAAGAGACATTATTCTGGGGGCCTCTATTAATCAGTGCAGGAAAAAAGTCTCTATTCTGGGGTACTTTATTACTGAGAGGTCAACATTAGGGGTTTCAGATGATTTCAGGTGCAGACACCACTTTAATGACTCAGCTGCTTCGAAACATTAAGGTGAGCCGGGCGTGGCTTCAGATACCTCAGTGGATGACTCTTTGCTGGGTTCCATGAACTTTGAAAACACGTGTTTGTCAGTCCACAGGAAACGGCCACCCGAAGAACGCTGACCACAAAAATAATAGTCCCATAACTTTCAGTTTGCAACAATTGAGCCAAACCTGAGTCCCCAAGCATCTGCAGGATCATTCCGAGAGAGCTGGCATTCCTCCAACCCTCCCCCAAACCGGAGGCCGACATTCCCATGGACCATGTGTCTGAGGAAGCTCTCAGATTGGCGCTCTGGTGCTGCTCGGGCACGACTTCCCAGACGAAGTTTGGTCAAGGCCAAGGGTGCTCTCAGGGCTTCAGCAAGAACAATCCAGATGAACATCAATCATGTTTTGAGGTCCAGACACCCCACACTTCAAAGAGGAATGAATTGGGCTCATACTGCGAATCCGGAGTTGGTTCAAAACCTTAAAGCAGAGCCAAAGTATGTTTGAATGCATCCACCGGCAGACCTGCCTCATCCTGCCTCAAAGTTCAGCAGAGCTGAAAGCGGTACGAGACATGGAACGGAAGACAAACGTTTTAAGCAATATGACTGCTGAAGCTATGCATAAAGTTTTACCAGCATAGTCGACCCCAAACAGTTTCAAACCGATTCGTTTGGACCAATATTAGTTAAAAACGGTTTCGTGGTACGCCCCACCTTCCCCCCCAAGAGCAACTTGCTTTGTTGTCGGCATCAACATCGCTAATTGCTCGGCCACAGGAGAAGACAAGAGAAGAGCAGGACAAGAGAAGACAAGAGGAGGACAAAACCCGGTCACAGAGCCCAGCCACAGAGTTCAGGGGCGCGGCCAGTCAGTGTGTCCAGGGCTGGTCAGCGTGGCCAGAGGACAAGAGAAGGACACGAGGAGGGCAACAGCAGGACACGAAAAGGACAAGAGGAGGAGACCCGGCTACAGAGCCCGGCCACAGAGTTCAGGGGCGCGGCCAGTCAGTGTGGCCAGCTCTTTTCTTTCTAAGATAGAACCCCAACAGTAGACATTACCAGAGATATCCAGAGTATAGCAGCTGGCATAGCAGCTACCTGGTCTGTCCCTCGACTCAAGTACCAAGCGAAACAGTGAAGGTCTGTAGTACACAACCACTTTTGCCAAAAACATGTGAAAGATCCTCACTATAATTTTGCGGGCTGTCTTTCAAAGTATCGAGACTTCCCATCTGATTTGGAGCAAGTCCAGATTCCAGGAGACTAGTTGCGGAGAACCACCACATAAACCGCTATCAGTACACCGGGTGAGTTGAACACAGAACCTAAAATGGACCACTGGAAGACCATTTGTCTACATATAACCATTTACATATATATATATATATTATTGTGTCTACAAACAGGTGGTTTTCAGGTTCCATGTTTAACTTACCCGGCGCACTGTCAATACTGTATCCCCGGTACTTCGAGCACTTTGCTAAAAGTCGGTGGCCCTAGGCCAGCTACTTCTCGCCAGCAGTGAGTGCCATCGACAGTTACGAGCGTGGCAAGGCAAAGAACACGTGTTGGGTCGTGTGTGAAAGAAGTGGCTGCCACACCAGGGTTCACCACCTAGTTCGACCATCGGTTCACACTATTGTGTATAGTGTTTTAGGATGCATGGGTGAGAGTGTGACAGCCAAATGTTTGAGTCTTCTGTGTTCACAAACTTTCAGGTTTGTATATAATACGCACAAAAAACGTTATATATATACACATGTATACACATGTATTTAAATATATCTATATATACACAAGATTCCTTGGTCATTTGACAACAAGGATGGTCAGCATTGTGCTTGCGCACACAGGGTCTCGTCTCGTAGGTCTCATGTCTTTTGCGGCGCCAAAAACCAAAAAACCAACGCGGGGTCCATGGGGATCAACATTCTGAGGGAGTTTGTGAGAGCTTTATATCTGGGGAGCATTTACACTATTACCATGGCCACTGGGTGTGCCCTTTGGGAAGGTGCACTTTGCCAATGGTTGTCCTAAAACACCAGTTGGACGCCCGGCAAGTCCACTATTCAGTTTGTCGGTCAAAGCTTGCAATCCGGTATATTTCGGGGCTTGACTAGCCGTCCGAATCCCCTAGGTCGTGGCGGGTTCTATCCTTTATAGACTTTCACTTTGCGTGTTTCACCATCACTTAAGCTGCGCATGTTCAACATGAAGGTTCCCAGGATCCCAGCCATTCCTCCTGGTCACACCAAAAACGGCCCGGCCTTACCACCTCCAGGCAGCTGCCCCGAGGCACCGGTCGGTCACTGGGAGCAGCATGACTGGGAGTTAAGCAGCACTTCGATTCGGACGAAGAAAAGAGGGAATCCCATGAAAGAGTCTAAGCATTTATAGTCACCTATTGAGATCCGTTATGGGGTTCAAACTGGATGGCATCAACAGACTGGGTGCTTGGGGGTGTCTCACCCCTGCACACTGACCTCAACCCATACGCAGTGTAGTATGGTTACAACCCCCCAAATCCCATGAACATGTTTGGAGTTTCTGCACTTTTCGCGTTCACTACCAGAGTCTCAAGATGAACGAAAGCATTCCTGGGAGTGAAATCAACCACGCAATACCAACTCGATCGGCAGCTCGGGTGCCCCTTCTGCTGGAAATGGCCGTCACGGGAGGAGCACGGTGCTCACATATCCAGAGGAGCCTTCTTTGAAGGTGGAGGAGGACGAGGAGTGCTTGTGGCCTTGGCGCTGGAAAGGAATAGCATCCCAAAAGAGGAATCGGACGCTAGAGGCTTAAGAGATAGACATCCCATGATATCCTAGAACATATTATATGTGAATATATTATATATATATATATATATACAAGATGTTGTTGTTTGTCTTCGGGTGTTTTTGATGGTTTGTCAGTGGTGTCAGGGTGTACTCAAGAAATCCGCGGTGATGCTATCGAAGGGACGTGGCTGCCGGGGAATGGACGTGGAGGTGCTGAAGCCTGCGGAACACGGTCATGAAGTGGCTGAGCCTGTGCACAGGATTCACCAGATGCATGCATGTGGAAGCTTTCAATCATGCAGGTGTATGACACACACAAGTTTGAAGCTTAAAGAGATGGAGAAAGGAGCACATTGGCTAGGAGGAGGCACTTGTGCCAGGAGTGAGATGTCCAGAAATCTGAGTGATTTGCACGATTGCAACGATTCGACACGGTGGTTCTTCGGGAAGTACTTGGAATGTAGAGTCAAGTCTCCGAAGAACGCTCCTGAGCTGTGCAGTCCCTTTTTATACATACCGGATGACTCGACAAGCCGAGTGTAAGGAGTATGGCCCCCCTTTCACGTCAGCTTTGTAGATTGTAGGCATCCTCATCCCAGTATGGTGTTGACATGTTTGGACACGCTGACCCATGTCAAGATGTTTGGCTGGTGACACGCCAACTGCCAGAAATCCAGGAAGGCTGGTGCCGAGCAATGCTCAGCCCGGAACGACAGTGGTCAGGATTGTTGATGTTACATGCACCCAAAATCCAGCCTTGTGTTGGGTGACTGACTTGTTGGATCTCGTTGGAGCATTACCGTAACTTCCAATTGTGTTGCAGATATTACCGTAACAGCATCACTTACGTCAGCTTAGGAATCAATGGCACTGGTACTCACCTTCCGCACAGCACATTCATTTCGTCCTTGGTGTGTGGATGTTCGATCACACTGACTTGATGTGACAATTTATGTTATTTGTTTTTTCGGCGTTCATGTTTTGTTAGGTTTCAACCAAGCAGCCAGCTGCTGAGGCTACAGCGTACCTTTGCCAGTGCCCGCTTCAGGTTTGGAGTTTTTTCCTGTCCGGTTGTAGCTGCAAAACAGGAAACCAAAGCCGTTTGTGGGGTTTGCTTGGTTTTTGTAGGAATGGACATGGCATACGATCAAGTTGTCAAAGCCGCCCTAAATGAGTTGGTTGGTTCACCAAACAATTAGCATGATATCACCAATTCATACACAACGGTCTCTGGTGGAAGGTCTACCCGAGTCTGCTATGGTCCCGAAACAAACCAGACCCTTACGGGTCCAGGGTCCAGACCCTTACGTTTATAAACAACTTTCATATGGTAAGGCCAGAATCCGTGATTTAAAAAAAAAACATCAAAAACAAAAGTCAACTGGAAAAGTCAAAGTCAAAAAAGAATCAAATTGAAAAGTCAAAAAAAGTAAACAAAAAAATCAAGAAAAGGTCAACCATAGACCACAGCTCGAAAAAGTAAAAAAAAGTCAAAAGACATCAAAAAAATGTCAACAAAAAGTCAAAACTGTGGCTCCTCGCCTTGGCGGATTACTGGAATCAATAAAAGTTTTAAAAAAAGTCAAAAAAAACATCAACAAAAAGTCAACCGTAGGCCACAGCTCGAACAAGTAAAAAAGAAACGTCAAAAAACGTCGAAAAAAAAGTCAAACAAAAATCAAAAACACATCAAATTGAAAAGGCAAAACAAGTCAAAAAAGAAAGTTAATATAAAAAAGGAAAAACAGCAAAAACAAGTTTAAAAACAAGGTCAAACAAAAGTCTGATCTGGGCAAATTGACTTTTTTTACTTTCTGAAATTTGCTGATTTGACTTTTTGTTGACTTTGACTTTTGGGATTGACTTTTGTTTGATTTGTTTTTGACTTTTTTAAAATTTCGAAAACAGGCTCTTTCCAATGAACGTGTTTTATAACCTTACGTCAGCTGCATGCGCTGGGCGTGTTTTCCACCTTCGATTCATCGAGCAGCTCGGGAGCCCGCGGACGCCCCCCCCCCCCTGTGATGCTTCGGGGTGGGGGTCAGGATGCATAGGGGTGAGCTCAGGTGAGCTCAGGTATTCAAGCACCTCTTCAAGTGAATCTCCCTTTTCCTCGCCGGCAGGCCTCTCAAAGGAGGACACGGACCAAGCAGCCAAGAAGGCCATGGAGTTACATCTTGGCGTTTATTCAGGACCGTTTCTGGAGATTTCTTTGAAGCTTTTCCAGTAAAAATCAGCCTCCAGCTGCTTAACCTCCTGTTCCGAACGGACTGTTCTTGCCGTCACCACGGGGGTGGAGAGTCCCACCACGCGAGCTTCACACGCGACGCACGATCGACCACCTGCCAACACACCACCTCCTTACATGTCCATGCCAAGGCCCTGCAGGATCGGCTCGGTGTTTCGGTTTTTTACTTGTTTTGCCTAACTGTTACCCTGCTCGCAGGCTTCATTGAATGGACCCATGATGATGTCCACCCATGTCCACCTCTGTCCGAAGACGAAGGCCAGATTGGATCCCCCAAAAACCAGGCAGTGCGAATCCGTTCCAACTTGGCCCAGGCGCTTCGTGCCTTGGAGTCTCGGCTCTCAGAGGATTTTTCAGGCGCACGAGCGCTCCGCGCCGCGCGAGAGGCGGAACGGCCTCCGGTAAAGTCTATATAGAGGGATTCGGGCACCCGGAAGAGGAAAGTCTGTGGATTCTGGATTTGGAGGGCCGTATCGTCCGTCACGTATCGTGGGTATCGTCTTCGAAACAGTTTCTGGCATACAACAAAGTAGGAAACAATCACATTGAAAAAGCTGTCTTTTCTTGATGGGTGTTGGTTGCACTGATGTTATTCTTCCGCGAGGTGGCTTTGCATGTCAAGGCGGGGAACCTTATGCTGATCCATTCTGAACCGGTCCTGGCTGGTGTTCAGGTGGCGAGTCCTCCTTGCACCAACGGTTGGTGATTGATGCGAGATGCGCACTGACCTGACCTTGCACAAAGCAATCTGACCTTGCCGCGGGAGCCGATAGAAGCCGATAGAAGCTCCGCGGGCCGGGTCCTGTGCCGGCAGGTGAAACAGGTGAAAGATGTGAAGTTCGCCCACGAGCCAGGAAGCAAAATGGAGGAACGTAGGAACACATCACTTTCAGCACCCTAAAAGAAGCATCAACAAGAAACTCATTGCCAGCCAGATCTTGGAAATAGATGGAAACAGTGCAAAACCTGACGAGTCGCCCAAACCCTGGCTGTGGCCGTGAAGGTTTGAAGGCTTCTTGTGGAGATATTGATTTAAAAATGATGCGATTTCCTTGCTGATTTGACTTTACAAATGTCCTAGCAGGTCCTAGCAAGCTGATCATTGGTCAGCTGACCCTGGGAAAACCAACATCACTCAATCATCATGATTGTCATCCTCCCTTCTTGGCGGGAAATGGCCTGTCTTGGGACCACATTACCCAACCCTGAGAGACGTTTGGTGAAATCACTTCAGCGAAGTACAGCCCTCATCATCCAGAACGCGCACTTCGAAACAGTTCAACTGTTCAACAAATCGAATGCTGCAGGTTCAGGGAGTCGTGTCTATTCTCTGAAGACCTTGTTTTGAACCACGTGATCCTGTTCTGCCAGCCATCCACAGATCTTGAGAATTCTGGATTCCGATCATCCTCAAAACGATCGGAGCCTTGGTAGGGTCCTTGGGGCAAGAGAGTTCAGTCTTGAACCCAGACATGACAGCTGGTTTTGAGCAGGAATCTACAAACCCAGCTGCCTTTTTCCTATTGAATCGTCCCTCCAGACATGACAGGGGTGGAGCGAAGCATCCCTGGAGTTACGCCTGGCGCTCGGGTTGCGGCGTTTTGTCATGGGATTGTCTGATGTTTGTACTAAGATGCACTAAGTGTAAGTGACTTATAGATATGTTAGTGCACTAAGATGGTAGGTTGTACCGTACCATATCTTTGTATTCTATCCCCCCTCACCAGTTTGGGTCCCCTCGGGGCCGGTCAAAGATCGTCAGCGACCATTGGGACGCCACGTTTGGATGCGGACATGCGATGCGTTCCGCGTTTGGAGCCCCACACGAGTCGTTCTCGCGCCGAGAATCGCCTTGGAGAGAACGACTCTCACCTGTCACGCGGGTCGCGACCCGCGATGAGGTGCTTCTTGGATGTCAGCACTTTTGGCCTGGAGCGGGGAAGTGCACGAGCGGGACGAGGGTGGGAGGACACCCTCGGGGAGAAGGTGATGGGACAGATGTCCTGCCCAGTTGGATAGCCTCGTTCACCTTTTTTGGGATGAGCATCACAGGATGTTTTCTGAAGCAAACCGTTGGCTTTGGTGCATGTTGTTTGTGTTGCTTGCTGAAAAAAAAGGCCTGCTGAAAATGGTGGCTAGCCTTACTTTCAAGAAGTTCATTCCATGTTTTTTTTGTTTTTGTGTGTGTGTGTGTTGGGTTTATCCTATTTCCTGTAACAGTCAGTCACCAATTATTACTATTTTTGAACAAGGCCTTTACTAAGCATCATCATCCACTGTTACAGGTATTAGGATGGACCCAATGTGTATGTGTGTGTGTGTGCTAGACTAGGGGAGACCCAATGGACCTGAAACAGGCAACAGGTAAACATCGACTGGAGTTGACAGCTGAATCTGTTGGTTGGGTGACCTCCCTTGCTCCCCTATTCTAGAATTGAGGACGTTTATAAAGCCAGCTTCGTTCTTTAACTTGGACCATGCACAACTGCCCTTTATGGAATCTGGAGTTCTCTTTGAAAGTTATTCTTATTTATTTATTCTTTTAGTTGTGTTTTTTTAATGACCTTGTGACCTGCTGTTAGCTGTTGTCAGATTTGAGTAGATGGTTGGCCCGGAAGAAAGAGCCGAAAGAAGTTTCACCACATCACAAATTTTGGTACACATGTGGTATTTCTTTCACCTTCGGACTAAGGACCCCCAAACCCAGTGCTGTACCATGCGGTACCAACCCTACTGGACAAATTGAGACATGCTCCTATGATGTCCCAGCACAGCACCTTGTGTACAAACTTGCCCAAAGATTCCAGGATGCATCCGGCTGGGATGTCCCTTTCTTCGCCGCAGAGAAGACCGTGAAAACAAGATGTACGTACTTTAACTTTTGATCGACTGAAAAGGACGTACCTGAACCTACACTGCAACCGTGCAGGATTTGTCCATCAGCGAAGGTGACTTCCTGCAGGGCCAGCGGCGCGAAGCAGGAGCAGATGATGTAAATCTACACAGCCCCATACTTCAGGCAGACAAAAGTTTACGCTTGTTAGCCTTCTTACAAAACACTCTGAGGTCAGCGGCGGATCGAATTAACAAGTCTGATTTTCGTGGCAGGTATGGGACGGTCAATTATCACACCGTTTTAAATCTATAATAAAAGGCTTTCCGGGGTGACAAATGACCGCCCACACCTTCCCTTGTTTCATGGTGTAGGATTCTAGGGGATAGGGTTGTCATGAGTTTCAACAAGCGCAACTTTCATTTGGTCAGTGTATGGAGCGGTCAAGGGAGTCAAGGGTTAAACAAATTGGGCTGAAGAGTGGGTGTCCCATTCCAAGTTGGATCTGATACTCTTTTGCATCAACTCGTGGCAAACTTCCGAGTTGGACCAGTTCCAGGCCTCGACTCCTGGAAAAAGCTATGGGTATCCCAGCAGAACAACATTTGGTGCCCGGAATATGAAAGACTTTGGATCCAGCGTCGAAAAGGGTTTGGAAGACTGCCTTTACCTGGCTGACATGAAAGTTGTTTCTTGCCTGCACTGTCAGGGCCTGCCAAGGGATCCTCTTTTCATGGGCGCCAAAGAGGAATGCGCAGAAAGATTGCTGTTTTGCCCTTTAAATCCTTCGTTTCTTGCAGACAGCATGTACAAATTGCATAGCATCACACATGCTGTTTGAACCAGCAGGTAAACTATCAGAATGTTCTGTGGGTCATGTAGCTTCCAAATCTGCCAGAATCAGGTGCAGATTTGGCCAACTCCTTCGTGCATGTCTTTTGAGCTTTGGGGAACATCCTCCATTCTCGAAGGTCCAAATCCTCACAGGTAACCCTTAGCCGCTAAAGCCACGGGTGGACCACCAACAAAGGCACTGCCACACTGCCAGATGTACACTGGTTGACCTGGTTTTGGGACCAACCCCCCCAACCCGTCAACCAGTTCGATTCCAAGGACCGTCCAACTGAAAAAGCAGTGAACACGATTGGTTTTAGGATGTTTTAGGTCGAGCATCACGGCAAATCCTGATGCAACAAGCAACCAACAATAGTCTAGTTTGTTTCCTTTTTATACGAACTATGGCCTATTACTTGAAACACAACTAGAGTATACTAGACTATAATAGACTAGAGGCTCCAACTTCTTGAGCTAAGAGAGACACCCACCCACCTTAGCGAGGCCATTGGACTGACATGTGGGACCTCGAGCACACCATGATACATCATGATATCATGAAGCATCAACAAAAAGCACTAGTCAAGAGTCAAGATCTTATGAGCAGTCTGTGTCCCCACAGATGTTGCGACGAATCTGTGCTTCCGCTGAACAGGATCCTTCAGCAAAAGCTTAGGGGGCTTCGAATTTCAGTCTGCCTCTCCGCCCTAAGAATCCGAAATGCAGGGGTTCGGACCCGGTGCCCAAACCCAATGTACTGCGGGTTTCGGGCCCTGATGCGTTGTGTATCCATTGGCTCAACAACTCACTCTTCCAACCGATTTAAAATTTGAGATGGGCCATGAGATGTGGTCTGTAGTACTGGAGAATTGTCGGCTACATCCCGTCACCAGGTGGACCACCTAGATGTCAAATCATTTTGCTTTACCACCGTGCTCAAGTGGGAGTTTTCCGTAAATGCTAAGAAGAATTTCAATGGAATAGCTACAAAGAGAGCTTGTGCAAAAGGGAAGCTACAGTCAAGGCCGTTAATTGGACGGCGAAGAACATGGACCAACATACGCATGCAACATATCAGCTGAAAGCGCGTAGTGATAAAGATGGGATACTTAAATACCTGCCTCCTGACCCTGTCGGGGCACACGGCAAGCTCAGGCTCATACTATCTTCTTCAAAGATGTGGTGTGCTTGCCGCTAATCGCATGGAGAGGTATGCAGCTAGGCTTAACCTTTGCAAATTTCTGTGGCAAGTCTCTCTCAATCCCCGAGCGGATAGGGAAGTCAATCAGCGATGAGTCAATCAGCGATGGCGATGGGGTTTTGGAGCACCGAGAGCCACTTATGCGCAGTGAGCAGCAGGCAAGAAGATGACTCGACATGACCTGAGATGCAATCAGCACTGCGTGCCAGTGGCCGTACCTCTCTTGTCCAGGAAAGGCGCTGACGCCCCAAGACAAGGATGAGATGAGGCCGTCCTTTCTGTATGTACGTGTCCACGCTTTCCTGTTTCAACCTTTTCTTGCACGCACTGCTTGCTGCAATGTTCGCCATTTCTGGCACACATGCCACCCCAAGGTAGCCCAGTGTGCACTTTTTCAGGTGCCTTTAGCAAAGACAAACGTCCCAGATGCAAATCCTCAATTTTGCAAGACACTATGTCACTATGTCCAGAAAACTTGCCAATCCATATCCAATCCATATACACCCTAACAAAAACAATCGACCACACATGTTGAACCGTTCGCAAAAACGTTCTCAAAAAGGTGTATGCCGCTGTAAGGCTTCAGAACTTGCATCCTGCAAAATCCACATGTAACCTAGATTTCTTATTGCTTCTTCAGGGCTTTATTCAGGTCGCTTTGCGACGACAACCGCCGGCACCAGTGGCTCTCAGAGAGAGAGAGAGAGTTTAAAACGTATCAGTAATCACTCTATTCTTGGCCCCTTTGACTCATTGTTTAGTTCTGTTTTATTTGCATTTTGCAAGCATTGTTGGATCTATTTTTCGACCCCCTTGAACTTGTGCATTTGACATCTTCAAGGGTGTCCAAAAATAGAATTATGTATATATAGATATGTGCAATAGACTCTTTGCGGTGTGCATGATCGAGACAAGACTTAGAGATGAGTGCAGCATGAAGTCGATGAAGAAGACAAATCATTCTATTTTGGACACCCTTAAATTTATTTTTTTTGGCTTATTTGCAACTTGCAAGCATCGTTGGATATATTTTTCGACCCCCCTGAATTTGTACATTTTCACGGGGACCAAATTATATCCTATAATGTTCGCAAATGAATATAACTTGGTTTGCCTGAAAATGTACAATTTCAAGGGGGTCGAAAAATAGAATGAATAGTAGAATGAGTATATTCAATAAACTAAATGTGCATGGTCGACACAAACTTAAAGATGAACGCAATATGAAGTGGATGAGGGATAATCACACAAATTGTTGGCCTCATACAAGTTGGTTGCAAGCATTGTTGGGTACGTTATTTCAACCCCCTTGAATTTGTTCGTTGTTAAGGGGTCCTACTTATATACATTTTTGCAGGAATTTCCAATCATTTTGTGTGATACACTTTGCCATTGCAATTATAACTGATGCAAATGATGCAGTCATGAAACATGTGTTAAAACAATGACTGTGTAACAAAGTCAAATGCTGCAGTCATGAAACATGTTAGAACAATGACTGTGTAACAAAGTCGTTTGATTTATTTTCATGAACCTAATGATGCGTCCCAGAATATCCATTTTTTGTTCCCAAACAAAAATGTTCCTCTAGGTAAAACTATACTGTAGAGCAATAAACGCATAGTTTGAATTTAACGCCTCAGCACCTTCGGTGTGGGCGGAATTACAAGCCTCAGTGCGCCATGCGATGTTTTGTTTGAGTTCCAGGGCCGGTTCTTGGTACCCTTTGCAGGTTTGTTGCTATTTTAGTTGTAGGCTGAAAGGTGAAAAACACCTGAGTTGGCACATGTTGGCATGTGTATCAAAAAGAAATTACTGAATCAAAAATAATTACGTAATCAAAAACAAATTAATTAACTAATCAAAAAATAACTATTTTCCTTTCCTGTCTCTTGTATGCTTGCTCGTGGTCCACGGTCCACATGGTCGTCCTGGTCCCCTTGGTCCCCTGGTCCCCTTGGTCCCTGGTCCCCTGGTCGAAGGGAAGGGAAGGAAGGAAAGAAGGGATCAAGGTAGGAAGTGAGGAAGGCAGGAAGGATGGAAGCAAGGCAGCCGGGAGGCAAGGAAGCACGGACAGAAGGCAGGAAGAAACAACGTAACAAAGGAAGGACCACAAGGAAAATGAAGAATAGAATTAAACAACAATAAACAAAAGAACCATCAACCATGTTAATGGAGGTGCGCTCTTTTTTCGGGAGTGTTTTTGTATTTGTTGATTCTGATTTTGCTGTTTTTTTTGCTTTTGTTGCTTTTCTGTTTCTGCGTTTTGTTTTTTGGCGTTTGTTGCTTTTCTGCTTTTGCTGCTTCTGTTGTTTTTTTGTTTTTGTTGCTTTTCTGCTTTGGCAGCTGTTCTCCTTTCTCTTTTTGCTTGTTTTTTTCCATTTGTTTGCTTTGCAGAGAAGAAACCAAACAAGAAAGCAAGCAAGCAAGCACGAGCTGCTCACCTTTGGATCTGGTGTGCTGCTGGGGGGGGGCGGCGGCCCCCCCCCCCCCCAACCCCCCCCGCGCCACGAAATCTGCACTTCATCTCCGACACCCGCGCCTGCCACGAAATCAATATTTTAAGGTGAACTCCCCGGCAACCAACCAAATACGCCTCCTGTGCTAGTTCTCTTTCCTTTGCTGTTTCTCTGCTAACTGCACCAAACTATTGTGATAGGTAGCAATTTCTCTCACACCTACATGTATTTTGCCAGCTACGACAGCTGCCCGAATTAGTCTACTCAACTAGCAACTAATATATGAAACCTGCACTATTCTAATGTATTGGGCCAGCTACGACACATGTGTCTTTGCTAAGGACACGAAATTGCTGTAATTAGCTAGGTACTAATAAGAAACCCGCTCTATCCCAGAGAGCTCGTGGCAGAATAGTTTTTTTTGATTAAGTAATTAGTTTTTAATTGATCCCCTCGAATAATACTTTTTTTGACGCGGTAAATATTTTTTTGATACTTCACCCGCACATGTTTGAGTTGGACAAGTGAGGGCATCACCCGATTTTCCATGACCATGACCGTGAGTACAGGATGCGTGCATTAGGATGGGAAGAAAGGAAAAATCTACAGATCGAGGAAACTAGGGCGGCCACACAGTCTCCACGGCTACATCAACCATTGAGCTGCCAGTCTGTTTGAGTACAAAGCAACCACAAGAACCTAACGTCCCTACACGGGTCTATCATGTGCCAGCTGGGTAGTTTGCATGGTTTTGCACACATAAGGTGACCACCCTGGACCCAGCAGAAGTGATAGCTGCCATACCGTAGCATTCCATACTGTAGCTGCCGACCGAAACATAACGTGAGGCCTCCTCACTTCAAGGAGAGGGCAGGGACGGCCCGACGGAAAAAACAAACAAGAGGGGAAAGCAAGAGAACAAAACAAATATGAAACAAAAAAGGACGTCCGGAGCGATGAACTTGAGCCCCCAACCTGGCAACCTTGTTACAAGTAATTATACATGAATTTAAACCTACCTTTGCGCAACCTGCAAGCGCTACACCACCACAGCGGCACGACCTGCGACCTGCGACCTACCTGTAGTGATGGGAGCGAAGACCCGTTGTGGCGACGGCTCAGCGAAGGTCCGGTGATTGCGACGGCGAAGGAACTCCACTTGCGGTCTCAAGCGCGTCCTCAGCGGTCCAAGCCAGTGTAGCACTGGGAGGCACAGAGCCGAGACTAACACAGACAAACAAAAAAAGCACAGACAAATGAAGACGTGAAGACGTGCAAGTCCTCCAATCCATGAGAAGTTCAATTGACTAACTGACAACCTAAGTCTGAACCTGATCCACAAACAGTATTCAGGTCCTCGACATAGCCAAGCAAGGCCATGAACACGAGATGCGTTCAGGTTTGTGCTCAGCAAAACACAACAAGAGATCAAACCGCACGCGAGTGAGTCCACGCAGTGGGAGGGCGACGCTACAGTGATGGGTTCACTCCCGTTGGCAGTATGATCTTGTCCCAGGGATTTAATTTGACTCTTTTTCGTCCGATGTTCACCTGACCTGTTCACCACCCTTCCTGGGTGCTCGATCTTGCACAATTCATGGCGACTCCATGATCCACAATTTGCACCATCACGACGAAACTGAAGCAGATTCCCACAACTCTGAAGTCTCAGATATTGAAGGACAGCCCAGGTACACCCATGACTCATGTCAACACAAAAGCAGCAGAACACGCATCCATCGTCTTCTCCTGCCTCATGGCAGGTCCGGCGTTCGCCGTGTTGGTTTTTCATCAAAAGCTTTCCGGCGTCCGTCTCCGCCGCGCAGCATACTCTTGAGTCGAAACAAATTCCACACAAGCTCTCAGGGTACGTTCTCAATTCCACAAGCTTGCAAGTGTAAAACGTGTAAAAGATCCCTTGGACGATCACGTATAATATTCAACACTGCCTTCTACATGTGACAAAGGCCCTTCTAATATAATAATCACATATGTGACATGTGACATATTTCTACATGTTTTCTTTCACCTCAACACTGCCGTCTCCCCCGCTGAGATGGGCTGAGTGATCTGGTTTTCTTCTCATCTTTCTCCAACAGCTTTCTGTTCAGAGGTTGGCCAGGCTTCGATAGAACATGATAGAACAGTGTGCATGGCATGGTCGCTAGAACTGGTTTGCCAACTCCACTCCTTTGCCAACCTTCTTGCTTGATCTTTTCTCTTATCTCTTGGACTCGAAGGCCTTAGACTCCAGCCCCCCTGCTTGACTGCGATGCACAGTGCCTTTCCCTCCTTGTCCAACCCGCCCCAGGGTTCTGTACTTTCCATTTGTTTCAGGATTTCTGGACTCCCATTTAGTTTTGCTTCCTTCTTTTCTCTTTACTCGCCTTCATTGGACCAGAAATGGACCGCCCAGCAGCCCGTTTGGGACGGGTCCCTTTGCTGTCCTTGTCGATGTCAAGCCCCACGGCCTTGCGACTTCGAAGAAGCTGCGGGATGAGGCTCGAAAAGAAGCTTCGGGAGATCTTGGCCTTGAAGCGTCGCCAGGTGCGACGCACCGTCGGTGAAGCCCGCGGTCGAAGCGATGGAGAGGTCGGTGTGACCTGCAGGTTGGCACCGTGCTTCTTGACGTTTGATGGAGGTGCACTCAGTGAATCACTTGAAGTTGGAGTGAATGTAGGTTGTTCTTGTTCCATGTTCCATGGTCATAGCCCTCAGTGATGTTCATGATGTCCTCCTTTCAGTTGGATGATTGATTCTTAAGAGTTGCAACCTGTTTGAACAGTACGTAGCTAGTGCGCAAATTTACTGGCCCAATTGGTGGGAGATGAGACCGCTATAGGCTATAGGATCGAACAAATGCATCCGGAACTCACCCAAATCCCACCACGTTTCCTAGACCTTAGCAGGTGGCACTTGAGCGAAGGCTGGAATCCAGTTTCTCCAAAGCCGCGTTTCGCACTGCCAGGAGGGGATGTCCTTTCATTTGCTAGGTTGAAGTGGCCGCAAGATTCATTCTGTATATATTGAGCAACCACTTTTTTTAAATCTTTTATTTAGGCTTTACTAAAGTAGTCTACGGCATGCTCTATGTGCTTTTCTTTCATCAGTATTCGCTTGTGAACGAGATAGGGCCCCCACATAATTGATAGTGTATTTGAGTTTAGTACCAAGCAAATGCCGCTACACATATGTCTTTGTGAAAAAACATGTTAAACCATGTCAAAACATGGGGTTCCCCTTGCGTACTTCAGCGTCCAGCAGGCTGTGATAAAACATCGCTTTGGGTGAAATCACGGGATAGACAGACACTTTCTTGCAAGAATGGACAGTCCTGGTTCTCCGGGTCGTTTCTTTTTCCACGCGTCACCGAGAACACGACAGTCGCCAGGTGGAGGGAGAGAAGTTGGAGAAGCTTCAGGCGGCGAAAGCGCCATTTCGCCGTGTCGGTCGTGTTTGGTCCCTTCCACAGGGCACGATTGGATGAAAGGGACCCCCAAAAGTCTCCTCCAGGAGGGTTGTAGTAGCGTCCTTGCTCCTAGTAGTACGGCCAGGAGCCCCTAGTAGCTTCTTGTTCCTAGTAATTAGTAAGAATGCTCCTAGTAGCGATGCCAGGAGCCCCTAGTAGCGTCCTTGCTCGGGGGCTGAGACGTTTGGACCTGATTGGGGTACACCGGGGTCGCCAGATCGGAACGGAACGGGACCTTTTTTCAAAACGGATTTCTTCCACAACGAAGGCGGTTTTTAGTTTCCATGTGGGCCTCGGAGCCAGGGTGTGTTGGATTTACACTCCGACGAACACATCACATGGAAGTGGAAAACCCCCTGTGTCCAAAGGAAAGTAGTCTTCCAAGGGACCATTTTCCACTTCCATGTGATGTGTTCGTCAGAGCGTAGAATTGTTGTCACTGCTGAATTCCAATGAGTTGGCTTCCCCACTCACACAAATGGATCGAACCCGTCCGTTGCACTGATCGGCTAGACGGCTGCACGAACCTGGCCGCCTTGGGGATTGAAGGAAGCAAAGTCTGGGATGTTTAGCATGCAGCATGCTAAGCCTACCTGTTCAGGTTCATGGGAGAAAGTGCCCGACCAACTACGGATTTTATTGGCTGAGAAGGTGGCTCGAGACGCTCTAAGCACCATTCAAGCGCACTGGGACTGTGAGAACTGCGGACAGGAGTGGGAGAACTTGTGCAGTATGTAGAAAACCTCTTGTTGAAGTTCAGCCAGAGGACCTTCCAGCTCAAGATATTTTTTTCACAGAACCAGCATGAACATGGATTATGATGTTTCGTTCTATGTTTATTTGACCAATGGCAATCTATGGTAATCCTATTCCCTCTAGTGTAGTTCGATTCTTCGCTGGTGCCAGTGATGGACATGATGGACATTATTGTTCGATGGTTTCTGGTTTTAACTGGCTCTCGAACCTTTTATCCTGCCAATTGCTAGTGATGTGTTTGCTTTTTGAAGTCACCTGAGTTCATTCAAGAGAGTCTATCATAGTTTCAAGTTGATTGTAATTGCTTTCTTCACCAACAAACACCCACACTTCACAACAAACACAGACCACTTTCCGACTGCCCGTTGAAACGCTCTTGCGTGCACTACTCCAGTCTTCGTGTTGTCTGGTTTTTGCTTCTTTCAACTTTGGAGAGAGGATTTGCAGGCAGCAAAGATGTATGTGGCCGCAAACACAGAGATAACAGTATGATTTTGGAGAAACAACCCTAATGAGTGAACATCCACATCCTCGAGATCGGTTTCCAGACCGGAAAAAACCAGGGAGTCCACACTGGCAGATAAAGCACTGTGCGCACGGTGCCCTGAGGTCCCTGTCAGTTTCCTACCCGGAGCTGGTAGCTGAGAGAACATACGCATGATTCGTGATATATAGCTATAGTTTAATATATATTGTATATTATAAATATAATAGAATAGATATACAGTACACCTCTTCTGCTACCTTGGAAGCCCCTTTCTTTCGGAGTCACGACTCGTCATGACGTGCGCTTCGACTTACGGGCTCCGGCGACGTATGGCCGTTGGAGGCAGAGAAGGTGCAGAAGCGGGTGGAGCTCTTCCAAGAGGTCCAGGGCCGCCCGGAGCGGACTGGACGGGTGTGAGGGTTTGCATTCTCGGATTCCCAGGTGCGTTTTGGCTGGGTCAACACCTTTGCGTAGGCTGGGTCAGGACATGAGGGAAATCAAGCACCTAGCCGGAGAGGAGGAACGCTTGGATCAGTGAAGTGTGTCTCCATGAAACAAACAGACCGAGGGTGGGAACCCGTCAAACAAATGACTTTTAGAACTTCTTAATCTATATACAGCCAAGTCCCATAACATGTATACTGGATTATACTGGTGCGGTTTTTGTGGATTCGCGACTGAATCATGGACCGTTCCCCAAATCTGCATGGTTTCTCACCAAACGCTTCTAGATCATGGACCATTCACGAAATCTGCATGGTTGCCCACCACCAAACGCTTCTCGAGCTAGTCTTTCGTTGAATTGCTTTAACTCTTGACGATGCATCGAGTCCTTTCCAGGAAAGTCCCAAAAAGCCGCTTGGAGACCATCTTTCAAAATATGTTTGCGTGTTTGCATGGCACAGATTCAGTCGTTTTCACGAAGTGTTCACCGCTCAGTTCCCCGGACACCTGGACGACGTGTTCTACCCGCATGTTCCGATGCTGTTCAGCATGCTGGCGTCAGTGACTATGACCTTTATTTCAGAGAAAATGTATCCAGGAGTACCGAAAATGTATCACATGTTGCTGTTACTTAGTAAATCTTAGTAAGATTCAGCAAGTTAGTAACAGCTGGAGAGTTCAAGATCTTTCTGTTGGCACCCCACGGAACACGCGCCCCATACCAGCCTAGCAGCAGCACCAGCCTTCCCCCACAGCTCACATATGCTGGAGGTCGCTGAGCTCAAACTTCGGAGAGCTGAGAAGGACTGGGCCCGATTGGCCGAAGTGACCGATGACCTACCTCGGTGTTGTCTTACGCGGGATGGGGTGGAGGATCTGACCAGATCCAGAATATGTTTGATATGTTTTGGTTAAGAGGGGTTATTGATCAAGATCCAACAATACAGCATGGAAGTGAACTGCGAGAAGCCTGCGCTTCTTCTGAACTTGGCAATGTCAGCTTAATTCAGCCTTCGCAGCATCTATGTTGCATACAACTTCTTTTCTTGCATGATCGAAGGACAAAGGGGTCATTGTAAGCGGGTATAATACAAAGCCCCGCAGTATCCACATCGATCGGCCAGCCAGGATTGATGCTGATGGTCACGTGGATTGTCATGTTCTGAATATACAGTGAAAATAACTATATTGGAATACCCACAACTTGAGAAGACAATATGGAAACGCGACCGGGCAGAAATACCCACAACTTGAGAAGACAATATGGACACGCGACCGGGCAGAAATACCCACAACTTGAGAAGACAATATGGAAACGGGAGCGGGCAGTCTTGTCATAAAGTCTTTGCTGACTGAACAGCTGTGACAGCGAGCGATGGATTGACTTGAAACACCGGGCAGCAATTTGGGTAAGAGGCTATGTTTTCCCAGCTTGGTCAAGCATTGAAGTCAATCAACCATATCCAATTTATATATATAACTACAATACCTGTGACAGAGTGTAGAACTGAAGCCGCAAAGGAGAAGACAAATGAGTTATTTGTTTTGTTGATGTTATGTTTCTTTGGAGCACGAGATGACAAGCCTGTGGGGCTGTTCCATGCACATGATGGACGTGCCTCTTGTTTGCTGTACGAATGATGATGATGATGATGATGATGATGATGATGATGATGATGATGATGATGATGATG